GGCGTGTATTAGTTTCCTGGAAAATGGTGGTTTCTGTTTATAAAGTGCAACTATTAGTTTGTTGGCGAATTAATATCACTGATACAACCCTATTGAAAATGATTTAAGGGAGGAAAGCAAGTATTGCGGATCTTTATTTTCATTGATTTGCTTAGAACTTGTTGATATTAAGTTGCTCAAGCAGGATGAAATTAATTATTTAAGAACATCTCTGATTTTTTTTTTTCATTGAGAGTTATAATCTAACAGGTACACATAACAGTGATATTCCCGTGTTCCTCTAATTTTCACAATATAATCCATTATGTTTTGTTATAGCGATTTTATTTTTAACCTTATTGCATGTTTAATTGGGGTCGATAGTGTTCTTGTTTAAGGATTAAAAATGATGACAAATTGATTCAAGCTGAGGGCGTGGAATCTCGATCAGAAGCTGAACTTCGTGAAGATTGTCGTGAGAGGGGCATGCTTGGAGTGCTTACTGTGGATGAAATGCACCAACATGTTTGTATGGGCGAATATTTGTCCAATTGATAGTATCATATTTATTGGTTACGATATGAGATTCCAGTTGTACCTTTCAGTTTTTTCTGTGATTATAATCCCCTCCCTCAGCTTGACCCTAAACTATTAAAACAGATGGAGTGTTTTGTGGCTATTGGCTTAATAGAGCTGCCATTATGATCATCTTTTTTCTTTTATTCAATTCACCTTTTCTCTCTTGCATGATTTAATTGTTAATGATGGCATTATTTGCAGCTGCGAGATTGGCTAGATTTATCACTAAATCATTCTGTTCCGTCTTCACTTCTGATCCTTTCCAGGTTAACTTGATTTGTCCCCAACTTTTCCTTCTGTCTGATTTTGAAAAATTATCATAATTGATTCTTAGATTTTTTTTCCTCTGAAGAATCGATTTCTGAAAGGCGGAGGAAATTGGACTTCCTTGAAATGCAGGAAGAACTTATCACGATTGATGAACATGTATTTTCGGTTGAAGAACTTGATTGTAACATGTATTTTCGGATGTACATGTTTAGTGTTTAGTCAATGACGCTTAATACTTGTTTGAAAACGAGTGGCATATAATATCAATAATATGAGAAAGGGTCTTCAAAGTTTTAGCAACATGTATTTGTTGTTTGTTGTTTTGGAATTTTCGAATGATCGTTTACCGTTATGTTTGTGAGCTTGAGATTGATTGATTTGTTGTTTTTTGGGTTCGTGAAGCTTCCGCTTTCGCTACTCAAGATTGCACAAAGTCACCCTATGGTAACACTTCTTACCTCTAAGTATTCTTTCTGGTTACGTTTTAATTTTTCTGTTGTTTGTTTTCCTAATATTTAGCTCAATTTTGGTAGATGATTTAGGACATTGCTTTAAACTTTTGAAATGGTTGCAAGACACCTACAATTTTATTATTTTTATTTATTTTTATTTTTGTAACACTAGAGCTTGCTCATTAAAATCTTTTGTGCTTGCCACCTGATTTTTTGTGTGTGTGTTTTCTCTTGTTTTGTGACAGGTGCAAGCTGTGACGGTCCATGCAACAAACAAGTATTTCGTGATCGCTTCTCCTGAAAAAACATGATGCTTCTATGATCTTGCTTCTGGTTTATGCCTCACTCAGGTCCAAACACTGTCTTTCGTATGGATAGGAAACCAAGTTTTTTTTTTTGCCATTTAAAGATTTTATCCCATTTTTGTAACTTGTAACCTTTTTTTTTTTTTATTATGTCGTCTTAGGTTGAGGACGAATCAGGGTCTTCTGAGGGCTACACATCTGCAGCTTTTCATCTTGATGGCCTTATCCTTGGAACGGGTACCTCTGGTTCTCTTGTTAAGTTTTGGGATGTCAAAACTCAGGTGCATATTGTTTTGTTCTTTTTCCTTTAATTGCTAATATCCCCTCTCTTTTAAAGTTTTCGATTAACCTGATATTCTATTTGGCCATTGGCAATGAACAGCAAAATGTTGCTAGATTTGACGGGCATGTTGGGGCAGTTACTGCCATTTTATTCTTGGAGAATGGTTATTTCCTGGCGGTATATGTTCTTTCCATAGCTTGTGAACAATTTGAACTTGATTTTTCCATATTATCATAATGCGGCGTTTAACATTCAGACTGCTGCACAAGATGGGGTCAAGCTATGGGATTTACGTAGATTGAAGAACTTTAGAACATTTGCTCGAACTTATGACAAATTTTCACAGTAGTTTTATACTGGATGTTAGACCGCCGTGCGTGCACGGCGTAAACCCATCTAGTATATATATATATATATATATCTCCTATATGTATAAGAAGACATGTTAGGCCTTCTAAGGCTGACACGTGTCCTTTTGGACGAAAATATCCTTCATTTTCTCCTTTATTTACAGCTTTGCCATTGCCTTTATTTAGTGTAAATTAAATCGGTGATCATTCTGTGTCCCTTTCTTCCTGAATTTCTGCTCATGTTTCCTCAGTAGTAAAAAAGCAGCCAAAAAAAGGGCTTTCTCACGTCCTCCTTTTCTCCCTCATTTTATCTTTCTCTCCGGTCCCAATTTTTGAAATTCTTTCGCACGTACTCCATTTCTCCCCCATTTTTCCTTCTCTCTTTAGTCCCAATCTCTGAAATTGTAGATGGCCATATCTCGACTCGGCTTTGAGCCGTCTTTTGAGTACCGGCAAGTGGCTAGGGTTCAAGCTGAGCAACGGCTATTTCGGTACCCCTTCTTAAACCCGTGACTTAATCATGACAAGCAAAGACCGAGTTCCTCCTTCCCACCTCTGCCACCCGCTCAACCCGGGCCCTGCCTCGGTCAACAAAAGTAAAATTCAACTAATATGACTCACTGCAGGTACAATCGCTATCTCATCCTTGTCATCTTTCAGTTGAATTTAACTTTTGTGGCGTGAAGATCTAATTTTGACGGTTGGTGTGTGATATTTTAGATCTACAGGGGAAAATCACCGTCGCTGCCGCCGGCCGCCGATGCGCAACTCTTCGGGCTGCTATGCACTCTCCTACAACAGGTACTGAACGGCGAACTTTGTGTTCGTGTTTGTAATTTCTGAGCACCAAAATAGACGGATGATAATGAACGCAATTTTTATGATCTGCTATCGGATTTCAAACTCAATTGGTTTTTGTATCTTTGCGGGTTATTGTATATGTGGGCTCTGTTTGAAAGCGAGCAATTTTGTGTATCGTTTTGCTTATCAGCGAAAAAATGTCAAAAGCAGAGATTTTTATTGGGTATGGATTATTTGCAATAGTGGCTTTTGGTTTTTCATATTATCTTGGTTTTCTGAATCCATCGAATTTGACGTAGTTTATAGCAGCTCCTTTGTTTTTGAATCTTTAGAGCTAATATAGAAATGATGCTTTCTTTTTTTTGCAGAATTCTCGCACAAGGAGATAAGACAGGAGCAAGTAAACACGCCCCCCTTTTCACCCTTACCCAAGCAATAAACTTGAACACCATTCTAATTATCCGAAATTCCCCCCATCTTTAATTTTGATGATGGATGGTCCAATAATTGTAATTTATGTTTTCCATCTCGCACAAGTTATGAAACTTTTATGTACATTCTATAATATCCCCATGAAGCAGCTAAGCTTATATGTGTATCAAGTTTCAGGATATTTTGTTTGTATTAATATATTTTTCACATTTTAGGTTGGCGTAACCACAGTAATAGTTAGTGGTATGGCAAAGGGTTCTCGTCTGATTCATCATAACATGACGACCATGCTTGGGGTAGGTCCTTACTATTTTCTTCTGTCTACCGGACAATTGGCACATCTGAGTACGTAATAATGATATACATTCGTGGGTCATACAACTGATGCATTGGTTACAAGAGATGTTTGGCATATCAATCTTAGCATGACCCAACTTTTGGCATTCCTCCACTACAGGGTGTTCGAGCCCATCATCCTCCTCGGCCACCACCGCTTCACCGGAGTCGACATATGCATACGCGTTAAGAAAGTGTTGCTTGGTGAGAAGACGCTGCCTGACCGTGTCGAGCCATATTTGGATGATCCGCCGCCAGAGCTTTAGGGAAAGCCGATGTCGAGGCACGTTGTGGTCATCATGAAAAGAAACATGAGGTGTACCCAGATGAAGAGGTTTCCCGTCGGTCAGGTTACCATGCAGGTGTTTGAGCCCTGAGGAGGGTCGTGTAGCTGTGTGGCGAATGGTGGATTAACATGTTGATGCCATTTTCATTTTCATCTAATAATTGGTCTC